TTCTACTTGCAATAGAAGCAAACCAAAGATCTTAAAGCACCAAATTTCACCGTATCCTTTTATTATTAATGGATGCTACTTAATACATGGTCCCCCACATGTTTTCTGGGATGGTAGAGTTTAGAAACTATCAAGAGGGAAATGAGGAACCAAGAATACAGAAAAGAATTCTTATGACTGGAAAATACTCTCACAACCAAGTTGAAAATCAAATCCATCCAGTGAAGGGTTATCACAAGATGGGGGAAGAAGTTCATCCCCAGAAAAAATGCAAAATAAAATTAAGCAACATGTAGTATCTGTTTCAATGATTGGCTGATATCTTTACTATACAGTACCCACTGGGAATCTGATTATCCAGTAACAGTGATGCTTACTGAATAGTTTGGAAGTTGGGAGGCTTGTCTTCTTTAAACAATAGGTCTTCCAGCCAAAAAGGCTTCATCCAAGTAAGAATGTAACTGAAAAAAAAATACCATGCTGGGAAGATGGGAGGTTAGGAAAGGTATTTATAATGAATAGAGGTGTTCATCAAGGGAATTCAGTGACCTCTCATTTATTCACAAGTTGAAGTTTCACTGTTGTTTTGTTTTTAACTTTTATAAGAAGATAAATGCAAAGCAAATAGTAATATCTGCTCCATTTCTTAGCTGTCCCCATTGGCAAGCACTTATGGATGGCAAGTGATTTCTATCTATACAGCCCTACAGCAGTGCCCAGCTTTTGACATCTTCAGAACTACCAAAGAGCATCCTGTATTCAACATTACTGAATCGTAAAATAACTTTAATGGCTTCAAAGTCTATGGAAAATGAATGTTTCTGGAGGGACCACACGAAAAGTTTTGTACTAAGACCTCTGTGATCCTGTGTTAAGAGAAGACTTACTACCAAGGTAGAGGGCTTAATCTTTTGGGTAAGCTCCTTAGAACACTGTTAAGTGGAACTGGGTGGAGTCAACTTCTGATTACAATGTTTTGGTCAAAAGTACAGATGTCAGGGTAAGCACACCAAACAGGAAGTGAGGTCAGCAACGGAGCTGTTAAGAAGTCTGCTGAGAGAAATGGAAGAGAGCGAACAGATCAACATTAGGTCTCATCTCTACAGAATTCATGCAGCCTAGCCATCACGACATGCTCAACAAGCACCTACTAGGCTCCCAGCACTTTGCTAGATACTGGTATGATGGCAAAGACAAGATGCACCCAGTACTCTACAGAGTTTTCTATCTACCAATCAAACAGCAATGAATGCTCTCAGTCCAGTGCCTTTTCATGCGGGCTATACTGAGCATTTCATTTGCCTTTTTTTGTCCAGCTCAAGAAGAGCAAAGGTCAACGACTCAAAAGCAAAGACGTGGAGAGAACTCCCTGAAGTCACAGGGCCAATTTTCAAATCTAATTTTTTTTCTAATGCCTTTTTGGGAAAGTCAAGAGTTTATGGCATTGATCTTCTTAGAAATTTAAAATTTAGAATTCGGACTATATATACTATGCACATTAAGAGGGTATTTGACCATGTGATTTGACAATATGGATGAACATATTAAATTACTAAACACCATATTAAATCCCTAAAAGCCTCATATTTTGCTGCTAGATGTTTACTACAACAGGGCGTATAGGAAGAGAAATAATTGGGTTTAACTGTTTCAACCATATAAATAACACAGAAGAATTCCGTCAAGACAGGACACCTGGGTAATGTCCTTGGTTCTGTCACTGAGCTATTTCTGCACCACCTTCAACTCTCCTGTTCTTCTGTTTGATTTATTTACACCAGAGGATGGAACAATCTGCATAATCCACAAGTCTACTACTTGAATCTGAGGCTAAAACTGACCCAAATTTTTTCCAATCACTTTGAAATTTGTTTTTTTTTAAGATTTATTTATTTTTTATGTATACAACATTTTTTCCATGTATGCTTGCATGCCAGAAGAGGGCACCAGATCTCATTATAGATGGCTGTGAGCCACCATGTGGTTGCTGGGAATTGAACTCAGGACCTCTGGAAGAGCAGTCAGTGCTCTTAACCTCTGAGCCATCTCCTCCAGCCCTCACTTTGAAATTTGAAATGAAGTCTGATGATGCTTAATAGCCTGTAGGTTCTCCAGAAGTGTGGCCAAAAACCATTGGTTCACTCATGACATCCTTGGCATCCTTGTTATTTATACTCTATTCCCTATACAGCCCATACAAACTAAGTCTGGAAGGTTTGATTTCCTAAACTCCTCTCAAATATGTAAATGGCTTACAACATTCTTCCTAGCTATTATAAAACACAGGTCATCTTCTCCCATCTCTGTTAGAAGATAGGTCGCATTATAGATACACTCTATTCTTCAATTTGGAGCCAGAGAAAGCATCCTCAAATCTGATAAAGTCACCAAGAGGTACTCAAGGACAACACCCAGTTGTAATGATGGAATAGCCAGAAACTGAATGTGAGAAAACCACGGAGGGAACACTTTGAACAGGAACATAAGCTGCTATGATACATTCGTTCTGCGGTGAAGATAAAGAAAAGCATCGTTGTACCACACTTTGAAAAAGTAACTGATACCATAAATTTTCAATGCTCTTATCACTTATGCATTTTCTCAGTGATGTTTAAAGTGGACCTTAAGAGGTGAATGGAGTGTCCTGAGTCTGGGAAATTGTTCAAATACATAACACACAATAGACGCTCCACAAAGGTTTTTTTTTTTCTTGAGTGAATAAATGACAAGCACTTATTTAGTATATGTAGTCTTGCTTTGGACAGGAAATACAATGCTCCAAAGAAAGAATATTAACTATTTATCCCTGGGTTTTATTTCAGGGGAGTGAAGAAGTACTAAAGACTCATAGAGGGGAAGTCTTTCCCAGGGAGAGCATTGTGCAGTCAAACCCCATAGAGCAAAGCAAGTGGAATATTTGTGCTGAAGGACAAAACAAGTCCAGAATTATTAAAAACCCAAATGACTGAGGTAGACAGAGTTCAGCAGTGAATCTTCAGCCCCTAAGGGTCTTGCTACTGTGAAAAGCAACAAGTTTTACTTTGAATTCCACCTACTATGCTGCTGAACACAATTGCGTCATCATTATAACGGGTGTGTGTGTGTGTGTGTGTGTGTGTGTGTGTGTATTCGGAGCACGCAGGTGATTTCTTTCAGAAACGCTCTCTAAAATCTTCCCTTTCCCAGTCCTAATACAAAGCACATCTGCATAAAGGCCCAAATTAGTAGAAAGAGCTGTTTACCATCAAACATTTAGAGCCTAAGAGGATATTGTACCATGAGCTTGACCATGAATTTATTATTTTAAGAGAGATAAATTAAAATGACAATATGAAATACTTGGGCTGTATTTATATATTTGTATATGGAAGTAATAGCCATTCATTAAATGGTCACATAGGTTTTTATGTAAGGAGCCAGTTATCACCTTTCCTCTGCCACCAGCTCTCTAAGGAGGGGATCAAAATGACCTGTAATTACAAACCAAAAGGCACCAGGACACAGCTTATGGACAATATGTTGAAGGCAGGTGATGAGAGTGCACAAATAGGACAGAATAGCAACCATTACAGAAACCTGATTACCCTTAAGACTACTTTAAAAGGTCAATCCCAGAGCCACCAGTGCCTCCGCAGAAACGAACAAGCATCAGTAACTGCGCAACGCTCACTTGGCTTTTCCGGACAAACAGCTATGCTAAACCAGAGAAAAAGCTGTTTCTTGTTCCTTGAAAATCAGCCTACGAAAGAAACTTAACAGTTTCCTAGCTCACACCCTCACCTTTCCAGTGGAAAGAAATGATAAGAGGTGCTCAGTTTGCCTCAGTGACCAGTCTAGAACCAACCCAGGCAGCTCCTGAACCTCTGAGCCTACCATTCCTGACTGCATCAAAGCCTTCCTTGAAATAAAAAAAAATACAGTTTTAATGGGAGTATGCAAATTCCAGACAGCCTTTGCCTTACTATAAATATTGATTTTTTTCTTGTCAGCTCCTTGTCTTGTCTGTTTCTCTCCAGGTTTTTTTTTTTCAAATTGGCAGTCAGAATGCTCAATCTCAACAGTGAAAAAAGCACGTCACAGAAAGCCCAGTAAACCAGCAGACGACAGAACAACTGTGGCGTCTCATCTCAAAACTACACATCTTCAAGGTTGAAAATAAAAGGTCTAAAAGCTGCTGCCTGTCCCCTCACAGTCTTCAGAAGTAGTGCTCATTGCTCAAAGATCTTTCTTTTCTCCCTTCTTGTCTTCTTTCCTCTCTCTCTCTCTCTCTCTCTCTCTCTCAAAAAAAAAAAAACCTGCGTAATCTAGAATTTTCTTTGGTTAGCCATTAATGTGAAACATGGACTCCTTCAAAGGACACAAGTTCCATGAGCATTCCATATATTGCATATGCTCGGTGGGTACCTGCAGCGACAGCACAAAATAAGCCCCCAATAAATATTTGTGCGACATTGAAGTTAACAGAAAGAAGAGAGGTCACCATGAGGTAAGGAAGGATCCAAGAGAGGACTTCCTGGTAACCCCTTAAATTAAGCAGATAATCTGTCTCTTTGCACACTCCTAGGAAAATGTACTAACTCCTTCCAAGGAATAAACTCGGTGCACTTAAAGCTCCCTGTGACATTTCTCCCGCAACTCCGCTGGCCACACATCCAGATTAGTGGATAGCCTTCACTTCTATCTACCTCAATTCTAGTGTTTCCATTATATCTAATCAAAAGCAGCAAGGTAGTGATGGGGTCCAGCCCCAGGTAGTGGACTCAGTGACCACTGCTCAAGTCAAGGGACACTGAGTGCATCGACGGCTTCATGCATGGATTTCGAGGAGCATGGCTGAGTTCTGGAGCAGGTGGACCTCCCGGGTGAGGTACCTGGCACACCCAATTCCCCAGCTAAAAGACCTCTAGAGAGCGGACCCCATCACCTCCACGCAGTCCCCCTTCTTTGCCAGCAAAGTGGCGCCCCCTTTTGTCTCCGTGCCTGCCGGGACACTCACTTACCGCGTAGTGCAGTCGCGGCTTCTCGCTGTAGGACGGGTCCCCCATGTCCCCGCCTGGAGGAGCAGCAGGCTCTCCTGCTCAGCCTAGAGTCACAGTGTCTCTTAGAGGTTCCCTTTACTTCACTGCCATCTCAGAGTAAGCTCTGGGCGTCAGCCCTGCTGTGCTCTGAGCGCACTGAGCTCGAGCTTGGCTCCGCGAGTCGCTGGCACGAAGTCCTGAGGCAGAGCCTGTGGGGACCGGGAGGAGGAGGCAGCAAGCAGGGGGAGGGCGAGGAGGAGGAGGGAGCGGCCAAGTCTGATGAGATGGGCGGGCATTTAATTCTTTCCGCTCCTGGCCAGTCCCTGCTGAGGCAGTGGCCGCTGCCAGCTGTTGGAGGCTGCAGCCACTGAGGTCGCCCAAGACAGGTGTCAGGTTGGCCAATGTCCCGCCTCCTAGCACTTGACTCCTCCCCGGCCCCCTAGTCCTGACATTCAAGGCTGGGGCTTCAACACCTGCGCAGAGAAAAGCTTAGGTTTCCAAGAGAAATTTTGATTAACTTTCAAAGAGCTGGGCGCCTGTTGCTAGAAGGCAATTCCCATCGATCTCAAGGGAGTTGAGGGTTTTGAAAAACCTTGATCTGAGTCTCAAAATGCTGGGACCCTCAGAGATCTCAGGCACGTGAGAAGGATCTAAGCAATACTGCCTCTGGGACCTGCTGAAGCTAGGAGGATGATTTGGAGGCTGGACAGAAAGGCTAAGGAAGTTTGCACTAGGCAGTGTAGGGAAGCCCAAAGAGATAGTCGTAGAGAATTTGTTAAAACAGGAGTGAGTTTCCACCCCGGCTGGGTTTGAGCATGCATTGCAGAGTAAGGGGCAGCACTGAACAAGGAGCTATCTGCTGTTTTGATCCTTAGGTGTCAACGGGGAAAACAGATCTGCAAAAATTTGGAAAGAAAAGAGGAACACTACTGGCAAACACTGCCAGGCAAATCGACTCGTTTTTTTTTAGCACACACTGGAACTGCACAATAACTCATACAATTGGTGTCTGCTCTAAAATCCCTCCATGGAAACCTGTCCTTTAAAACACCTCATTAAAAAAAAGTCACCAAGTTTCCTCAGAGAGAAATGCAGACAGGGCGGGAGGTGGGGGTAGAGTGGGGAGAGAGCGGAGGCTCCAGACCCGTGAAATTCACTAACTCAGGCCCCAGATTGGTAGCTGGGATGAGGGAAGTGGCCTTGGGGATGACTTAATGCTAGTTCTTCAGTGTCCTGTCTATTGAACTATAGAAACACCCTCTGCCAGATCTGTATTAGGGGCAAAGAGAGAAAAGCAGGACATGGTCCTTGTCTAATTCATGTGGACAGGCCTGTTCACCAACAGACATATAATTATTTGAAAACAATTGGCAGCATATTCATAACAAACAGTGGAAATTGTGAGCACCAAGGAGCAGGAATTCTAGATAATTTCACAATGGTCCAACTATTTGAAAAACTGGACAGTTATATTGAAGCTGACTGCATGCGTACCTTCTCATGCAACGATTCTCTTTGGTGCTGCACTGGTGGTATAGAGGTGAGCATAGCTGCCTTCCACTCACGCATACATGGGAATCACTAAAATGACCGCACCACATACAATTGTGTTCATAATGTTTTCAGGCAGAGTTGCACACAATGGGACTACTCTAAACATTTGTAAACTGGTGCAAAGAAAAAGTCATCGTCAGGATATGTGCACAGTAAAACAATGCTCAGAAATAGTCAGATATGATCCGTGGTAACAGACGACAGAATAACAATGATCAAGGTGGAGAATGGGGACTAGCAAGGAAGCAGAGAGCAATTTGTGTTCTGGGGTGCTAAAGACGGTCTGTGGTTTGATCTGTAAGACAGTTACTGGAGCGTATTTGTGCATAAACAGCCATTGCACCATAGAGTTCAGCAGACTGGTGCCACTTACACCCTTTACTGTGTGTATTTTACACTGCCATAAAACATACAAAATAAACTTAAAGTCAAGCTTCTTCTCAAACAGAAATCTGCAGCCAGAATATTGCCTATATTATGAGCAAGACATTCAGTTGTTTGCCGGTACCTCTCGTTCTCCCTGCAGTTTGCATTGCTCAAATCCCCTACTCCTTTGCTATAACGGGAGCGCAGGCTCAACCTGTTCACTTTAGAGGCTTCCCTGCTCAAACATGTCCAGGCAGGACTGGGAAAATGACACACTAAAGTCCTCTCCTTTTACTTTCATTCTTATCGGTTGCTGAAAAATAACCTTTAGAAGGAAGTCTTCAAAGAAAATAGAGAACTACTGCACACTTTGTAATCTTCCGCCCTTCAAAGACTCACAACTGCCACAGCCTAGGGAGGATGTGTGAATGAAAATGAGATGGAAGGTGGACTAACCATGATAGGCCAGGTTTAGGGACTTTTGCTCCACCGATTTCTACCCAGATGAACTCTCCAGCAGAATAACATGGCTTAGCTTTGGGGCCACACAGTGAGGCCCTGTTTCCAACAAGCAAACAAGATGAACTCTGGCTTCAGGAATCTTTCTTTTATCATTGAAGCTTGGAGTTTCAAATAAGCATCTGTTTCTTTGAGGAATGCTACATTAACGATATATCGAAACAAGAAACATTGAGTTTCTCTTTGATAAAAACCCTTCACCAGAGTCTTTTGATCATTACTTTTGAGCAATTCACCTCTTAAAACTGGGTGGTCCCCGAATTTGCTTGCATTATATTCTTGAAAATGCAGCAATAGAAGAATTCACGCTTCCCAATCTGCGCCCTTACATTTTAGACAGGACTTTTGTCTTCTAGAATATTTCTTTCTAAAGTGCTATTATTAAGTTGCCATGAAATCAATGTGATGTCTCCCACACCCCATGGTAGAAGGGGTTTTGTGGTATAGGACAAGGATTTAAGAAGACGAGTGGTTAGTCCTCCAGCAAAGACACCTCATAAAAACATCATCTGTTCATTCAAATCTCAGCCCATGTGTTGAAGGCACAAGTCACAAAACAGGACCTTAAAGATTGTACATAGTACTAAGAGGTCTGTGCACTTAGAAATAATTTAAATTCACCAGTTATTTCTATTTAAGTACAATTATTTCCAGGTCTACTCTTGAATCTCCAGATGGGTCTTCGCAAATTATTCACTTTTCCAAACCCATTCAGTGCATCTGTCCATAGGCTCTGGGTGAGCTCAATCGTATCTTATGGTGTATGAGGCTTCAAAGTTCATATTTGAACATTTAGGATAATGGGAGACACTGCAGGAAACAAGAAACTTTTCTGTTGGGCTCAAACTTCTACCCACTCATTATAATATTCTTTTTTCTTCTGTTATTGTGGCACTAGAATGCAACCAAGGACTTCATGCATGGTAGGCAAGTACCCCCCCCAAGCTATATCCCTAGGCCTGGCTCCACTTAAAAATAAATTTCTCTATATTTATCATTCTCCCCAGAGGCGACTCAAAAATAATCTCTGAGTTACTCTAACAGCATCATCGCTAAGAGAAAAGCACGTGTGTGCCACGTTAATAGTAGAGCGCCGGTGCATTCCTGCTCCCAGACATGGTGGCACTATGAACACTGAATCTTGTCTCCCAGAACATTCCACTTAAAATGGAGTCTACCTGTCTATACATTCAGTTACAATTTTCCTTATTTGGTGAAAACTCAAGGGTGATTGCTTACCATTGCTCAGGAAAACCTTAATTACATTTGTGAAAGCAAATTAAACTGTGGGGTTTCGAAGGAGCCAAGAACACACCGGAGAGTGCTTAGCTCCATCAATGTTATTGCAATGGCTATGGGATCTGCTTGAGCAGTGTATTCCTACTCCAAATCCAGTGTTGCCACTCCTCCATCCTATTATCCTGATAGCCCAGCCCTTTAAAGTAGTTTGGCATTTTGAAACAGAAAAAGAGAGAGCAATTTAGGGGCAACTTGACTAATTTCTACAGAACATTTCTGCATCTACCTTTCAGCCACGTTAAGGAATGGAGCGCTCCTAACTCCAGGTCCCGATCCCCTGCTATTCATAGCCATGGCCTCATCTTGAAGTGGAAGACATCTTTTATCTTTTATGATTTGTTTATTTTTATTTTATGTGTATAGGTGTTTTGCCTGCATGTATGTCTGTACAACATTTGCGTACAGGGCTTTTGGTGGCCGGAAGTTGTATGATGCTCCGGAACTGGAGTTACAGGCAGTTGTTATTTGCCATGCGGGTACTGCAAAACAAACAAGTGTTCTTAACCATTGAGCCATCTCTCTAGTCCCAACAGTATCTTATTTTTGATTGATTTCATTTCCTGTCTTCCTTTTTACACTATAGGTCCTCAAATCGCGTGCCACTCACTTTGGAGGACTCCTAATTCTTGGTTGTGGAGCAGCCTTGTGTCCTATAGCATGTTTAGAAGCACCACCTATTTTTAACTCTAGATGCCAGCAGTATTTATTCTCCTCCAATTACACAAACTGTCTCCAAATATTGCCAAATGGTCCTTGGTGCAAGAGGATGCAAAATCACACTTGATGGAAAGTAACCATATTTTAGAAAGCTAAGCACCCAAAACTGTTAGTCATTTCCTAACTTTATGTATACATAGACACATGCATAAATATGCTTCTTTTACATCCAGCCTCTTTTGATCAATACTATATTTGAAAGTTCATCTGTATTGTTGAATGTCATTGTAGCTTGTCCTTTCCATTGCTGTGTGGTATTCCATTGCAGGTGGGACCATTGTTTATATTTTTTAACTGCTAATGAACATTTATGGTCATTCCAATTCAGGACCAGTGAAAATCACATACCTTGAGTATCTCCACACATATCCCCATGTGCACACATGGGTGCCTTTTTACAGGGTAAGGAACTAGAAATAGAGTTGTAGGGCTATAAGCATGCCTGCGTTTAATGTTACTGGATAGTGCCCCACAGTTTCCCAAATGGATTGTATTAATTAAAAGCTTTATTTACTCTACCATATAAATAGACTGAACATAGTTTATATAAAGGCTGAACATAGTTTAGAGTTGACTCTCTTTTAGGCTTTCTCACAGAGCTACGAAAATTAAATTAAAGAACCAAATCCCAGGATAAAGAAGAGCTAAGAAGTAGCTCCATGCCCCTCCCCCTTTTCAATATCATCTCTCCTGAAATTAAAGGAGGCCCTTCTAGCTCTGCT